CAAGACAGGGCTTCCGCTCCATTATTCAGCGCCTGGTCTCGAACTTCCTCGCCCTCCAAGCCGAGTCTTCCACCTCCAGCCTTCCAAGTGGCTAGGGTATAGCAGCACGAAACAACCAGCACATCCTGGCCCAGCAGCAAGGGTGGTACATTAGCTTCATCCAACAATATTGAGCATTTGAAACAAATCGGCAAGCGTAGAGAAGCCTTGAACTATGGAGGATACCACCATGTAATTAAGGATGCATGTCAGCAGAGAATCGCTCTCAAAGTTGCCTCCTTCTCGTTGTCAATACACATAAAGAAGGCGGATCATTTTAAACTGTATTGTGATATGTGATGAAAAATGCGATTCTTCTTGGAGAATCCCAAGTGTTGCTAGAACCAATGGTTTGGGATAAAAATAAAGGTCCAAAACACAGTCCAAAACAGAAATATTCATTAGAAAAAAAAAATCTGCCGGGCCGCGGTGGCTCACCGTACAACCTAGCAACTCCAGCGCAGGGGGGCCGAGGCGGGCGGCGATGCTCCAAGGGTCAGGGAGTCAAAACCAAGCCTGAGCCCCCGAGACCTCCCGTCTCTACGCGATTAAAAATAGAAGAAAGGGAAAAACAAGGCCAACTAGTTTTCTTACAATCCATGTTCAAAATTCTTCTTCTGTCATTTTAGCGTTCTTAATTTGTTAATGTGTATTGCTAGAGAGCTGGTGTTCCTCCTTGGGGGTGTGCTTTCCCTTTGATTCTTCATACTTCCAGAGTTCTTTTGCTGAGTCCTTCCCATATGGATAAGCTGTTGCTTTCCATCTTTCAGTTTGCGTTTGGAAAGTAGCACGCCCTGTTTAGGCTCCATTCCAGTAGACGGTGTAGGAGCAAGGCAGATCGCAACTGATGCCTAACAGCCTGGATGTGTGCACTTCTATGGTTGCTTGATCTGCTGCTAAGGGGAGACACTAATGTTGTTTGGGGTTCTTCCACCACAGTTTGGAGGCTGCTCCTGATGGGAGGGGTTATTGGGGAGCCTATTATAGCCTCTTGCCAGGATTTTTGTTTCCTGACCATGGACTCCACTGTTTGTAGCCCACCAGATGTGGAAATCATGCCCCATAATTATGATCCTACTCGATGATCTAAACCGGTGTCAAGAACAAAAGTCACTGGTCTGTCAACTATTGACCTGTGCCAAGGTCCCATGGATTCACACTAGTCACAGAGGGAAAAAGTGGCTTTTCTTGCCTCTTCCTACCTCCAGGGGTGGAGCCTACCACTTTCCGTGCGAAAGTTGCTGGCTAGGGGGAGGGGATGGTGCCCCAGTCCAGCCAGCTCCCCAGCAACTGTAAGTCCCGCAGGTGTTAGCCTCCCATGACTGGGTAAGTGTTCAGAATTCACCCATCAAAACGGGCCTAGCTAGTTGACCATAGGTCATGTAAGGGCGGAGCTTGTTGGGAGCGTCCCCAGGCTACGAGAAAGGAGCTGCCCATCAGCATAGTGCACCACAGTGTCTGGTTGTTCTTAGTAAGATTTAAAAGAGATAATGGCAAAATAACTTCCTACAAAGTAGGGAAACTTACATTGACATCAGTTCTGTCTGCGATCCACCGGGCAATCTGCTCAGCTGAAAAACCCCGCACCTGCAACTCATATGTATCACCTCGTTTGGGTTTCCCTTTTGCAGGAAAGTTGATGAAAGTCGGAGCTGAATTCATGTTTAGCTGAATAAAAAGTAGCCCACAAAAATATGTTACCAAGAAAATAATCTTAATGGCAAACAATACCTTGAAATTTATTAAAGATTAAAAAGATGGGGAAGCCCAGATTAGGTAGATTAAGTGATCTGCCTAAGAAAAGCGATAAGTGGTGGAGCCAGGATTAAAACAAAAGGCTGCCTGTGACTTTATTATACTTTAGTAAACAAACAGAAATCCCTGGCTAAGAAACCTACATTTTACTCCACTAGAATGGAGAATTTCCCATACCACAGATATTTTAATCTGTTCAGAGATTAGGCAAAAAGAATACATTTATGAACACTAAAATCATCACACATACCTGAGACAAGCTCCAAATAGAGCTCTATTCTCAATTTGGAGGAAACAAGGTAATGCTCTAAAATGGCAGTTAAAAACCAATACAAAATGGTAGCCAAATGTTGAAACAGTCAATTCTAAGAGGGTTCAGAAATATTTATTGATGAGCATCACATTTCCCTATTCTCCATCACAAGACCATGATACACACCTGAGAAGACAACACTGGAAATATGAAGGTAAAGAAACCATAACCCTCTTATCGGCACTATATCTTTCTTCACATGGTATAACTATACTTGTGGAAAAGAGCAAGTCCACTAAGTCCAGGGTAAAGATCCTGACCAAAACATGCGAGTATTCAGGGCCTCCCAGCAGGTAATTCTATAATGGAGATTGGCTTGTACAAAACAATTTTAACTTAAAAACATCAGCCAGTAAAATAATAAAACTTCCTTGGTTTGATTCTATACTCACAAAAAAACCCCTTATAACAATAATTTTTTTAGACCTTCCCGTAAGGTGAGAGGGTATACTGACTACTGGATATGATTACTTTGTGAGTACTAGGGGCTGGAGGAGGGGGGAACTGAAATTGTTTAATAGATACAGAGTTTTAGTTTTGCAAGATGAAAAGAGTTCTAGAGATCAGCTATACATAGTGCGGTACCTAACACTACTGACCTGTCTATTTGGCTGCATAATACAGTGAATTAATAGGTTAGCTCTTTGGTTACCAATGCCCACAGATTTTTATTGTTTAGTCAGTGGGTACAAAATCTTCAGAGGTAATAAATTCTGGTTACACTGTTAAAATTCAATTTCTGTGTTTGCAAAGTTAAGAACCAGACCCTGGACAGTGTTCACTTCACCAAATAATGCCCAGATTTTAGGCCAGACCCTTTCTTTGATATTTGTTTAGTTATACCATCTCTGAATGTTTGAAAATGTGTCTAAAAATGAAAAGTAAGTATATGAATACATTTCCCTTGTAAAAAAGTATTTTTTAAAGCATTATGTGGTTATAAGGATGAATTCCAGTGCATTCTGGCATCCACAGTGACCATTTCCAGATCTTTCTGAATTTATTCACATACATGAATATATACCACTAGAAAACATAATATTGCTTGTTTTAACATGTTATCATATTAACTGTATCATTCTGCAATTTGTTTTATTTAATTCAACCATGTTTGAGAAATCTATCCATGAGATATCTATCTCAACCTCACTCTCATTGTTATTTAGTAATTATGCTATTGTTGAGACTTTCAGGGTTTTTTTCCCCCTTTTTTCCAATTGAAAATAATGTTGCAGCCTGGCGCCGTGGCTCACGCCTGGGAAGCATTTAGCAGTAGAATATTTCTTTCCTCCCTCCCCCCTTCCTCCCTCTCCTCTCTCCTTTCCTCTTCTCTCTCTCTCTCTTCTGATACAGCTCTGTTGCTTGGGCTAGAGTGAGTGGGTCATCATAGCTCACTACAACCTCAATCCTGGGCTCAGTGATCCTCCTACTTCAGTCTCCCGAGTAGCTAGGATTACAGGCATGTGGCACCAACCTGGATAATTTTTTTTTATTTTTGTAGAGATGGGGTCATGCTAGGCTCCTCTGCCTGGTCTTGAATACCTGTCCTCAAGTAATCCTTTGCTAAAGCCTCCCAGAGTGCTAGATACAGCGTGACCACTGTGCCTGGCCTAGAAGATTTTCAAAAGAACTACCAGATTTTCATAGAGATGACAGTCATCCATTTAGGCTGAATAAAAAGTGGGCACAGGCCAGTCAAGGTGGCTCATGCCTGTAATCCTAGCACTCTGGGAGGCCGAGGCGGTGATCACCTCAGGTCAGGAGTTTGACCAGCCTGAGCAAGAGTGGGACCCATCTCTACTAAAAATAGAAAGCAATGAATTGGCCACGAAATATATAGAAAAATTAGCCAGGCATGGTGGCACAGGCCTGTAAGTCCCAGCTACCGGGAGGCTGAGGCAGAAGGATGGCTTGAGCCAGGAGTCGAGGTTGCTGTGAGCTAGGCTCAACACATGGCACTCTAACCCAGGCAACAGAGTGAGACTCTGTCCCTCAACACAACAAAGAACAAAGAAACAACAACAAACAGAAAGTGGCCAATCACATTCTTGAAGCTCTGGCCATCCTATAGATATGAGGAAACAATGATTTTTAAAGCAGAATAAAAATAAAAAAAATCTTTCCCTTGGGTAAGAAATAATCAAAATGTGGCTGGGCACGGTGGCTCATGCCTGTAATCCTAGCACTCTGGGAGGCCGAGGCGGGCGGATTGTTCCAGGTCAGGAGTTCGAGACCAGCCTGAGCAAGAGCGAGACCCCATCTCTACTATAAATAGAAAGAATAAATGGCCAACTAATATATATAGAAAAATTACCGGCCATGGTGGCACATGCCTGTATCCCAGCTACTCGGGAGCGAGGCAGCAGGATCGCTTGAGCCAGGAGTTTGAGGTTGCTGTGAGCTACGCTGACACCACAGCACTCACTCTAGCCTGGGCAACAAAGCGAGACCTTGTCTCAAAAAAAAAAAAAAAAAAAAAAGAAATAATCAAAAATGCTACTTCTCATAAAATGAAAGCTTACCTAAAAATACATTATTAGGAGTTTTATTCAAATAATTTTTATTCTAAAATTTACTCACCAAAGCTGCAAAAGCCCATCCAGTTTATTGAAGAGAAATTCCATATTGCTTCTTCGAAGATCACAATCCACCAATAACAGCCAAAAGCAATCCCAACATAAGGGGACCAGCATAATTTGGAGGCTAATTACTCTAATCTATGGAAGAACAACAATATTTAAAGTATAACATTTAATTAATTATATATACGGGTCTAATAATTGAAAGGAAAGCAATCAAATTAGTGTGGTTACTCTCAGGAAAAATGATACTTTTATGTCGCAATCAAAATAATCTCTACTGTATCCTAAATGGGATAGAATAGGTACAATATTCTGTTTAATCACAACATAGTACTCCTAATAAAAAGATTTACCATACAGGTAGATAGTCCATAGATTTAAGAAGTTCAAAAGAGTGGTTCCACGTTGAATTCAATAAAGTATTAATAATACAGGGTGTTTTTAATTTCACTCATTCATCAGGATGATTCTGTTAAAATACTACTTATGAAGGGACCTGCCAAACTATATCACCTCAGTGATAAGGACAATCCAATTAGAGCTTCTTAGTATTTATTTTTTATTTATTTATTTATTTATTTTTATTTTTATTTTTTGAGACAGAGTCTCACTTTGTTGCCCAGGCTAGAGTGAGTGCCATGCGTCAGCCTAGCTCACAGCAACCACAAAACTCCTGGCTCAAGCAATCCTACTGCCTCAGCCTCCGAGTAGCTGGACTACAGGCATATGCCACCATCGCCCGCTAATTTTTCTATATATATTAGTTGCCAATTAATTTTCTCTAATTATAGTAGAGACGGGTCTCGCTCTTGCTCAGCTGGTTTCGAACTCCTGACCTCGAGCAATCCACCCGCCTCGGCTCCCGGAGAGGTAGAATTACAGGCGAGAGCCACTGCGCCGGGCCAGATTTATTTATTTATTTATATTATTTTTATTTCAGGATATTATGGGGTACAATGTTTAATGGTATATTGCAAAAGGATTTGCGCTTTTTCTTATTTCTCTGCTCTGTCTCTGTGACTGACTTATTAATTGGAAGGTGTTATCTTCAACCCCTAGATTCTTTCTTCTATTTGATCTACCTTTCTTGAGGCTTCCCTGTGTTGTAGTTCCCTAAATTGATTCTTCATTTCAGGAGTTCAGTTTGATTTTTCTTTAAGATCTTGACTTCTGCTGGGTGGTGGTGGCTCACGCCTGTAATCCTAGCACTCTGGGAGGCCGAGGTGGGCAGAATGCTCGAGGTCAGGAGTCGAAACCAGCCTGAGCAAGAGTGAGACCCGTCTCTACTATAAAAAAGAATCAATGCCAACTAAAATAATTAGAAAAATTAGCCGGCATGTGGTGCGTGCCTGTAGTCCCAGCTACTCGGGAGGCTGAGGCAGGACTGCTTGAGCCGAAGAGTTTGAGGTTGCTATGAGCTAGGCTGACGCCATGGCACTCTAGCCCGGGCAAGAAGTGAGACTTTGTCTCAAAAAAAAAAAAAAAAAAGATCTCTATTTCTTTGTGTTGGTTATCCATTTTCTCTTGCATGTCATTGAGTTTTCTTACAATCCATGTTCGAAATTCTTCTTCTGTCATTTTAGCGTTCTTAATTTGGTTAATGTGTATGCTAGAGAGCTGTGGTTCCTCCTTGGGGTGTGCTTTCCCTTTGATTCTTCATACTTCCAGAGTTCTTTTGCTAGTCCTTCCATATGGATCAGCTGTTGCTTCCATCTTTCAGTTTGCGTTTGGAAAGTAGCACCCTGTTTAGGCTCCGTTCCAGTAGACGGTGTAGGCAGGCAATAGAGTAAGACTCTGTCTCAAAAACAAAAACAAAAAACCCCACACAACTAATGATGTCTGTTTGGTGGTCCAGCCCTGATATTATCCACCACAGCTTCATGAAACCTGGTCAATCAATTACAGTTGATGTCTACTGCAACCAAATGGACAAAATGATGAGGATGCTTGCAATTAAGCAGCTGAGATTGGTCAATAGAGACAGGCCAATCCTCTTGCAAGACCACATGTTCCAGAAA